ACGTGACCCAGAGCAGCCAGTGAGAGAGCTCTGAGAGCGTGTCCCTTTCTCGATGATGAACTCTCAGAGTTTTTAATTATTTTTAAAAGATATATTCATTATAATGTAAGAGTAAAGACATGAGAGACCTCAGTTAATTCGGGCAAATATTGGAGCAATCATAAAATAAAATTCACATAATAAAGAACCCAATACTATAGAACAAGTATTAACAAGAAAATACCATTTCCTAACACAAATTATAGGAGAGTTTTCTCTATATTGTCCTCTTTTTGCTACTTGCTTTATTTATTGTTTTTTTGAAGTTGGAGATCAAAACGTAAACCCAACGTCTTCTTAACTTGCTGTTGCTTTTGAGCAAGGAAGGAAAGGGCTCCTGGTGTCAAGGGGGGATTCTGGGTATTCTACCCAGGAGAATTTTTGCCCCTGTAGAACTGAACAGTGAAAGGTGGCTTTGGATCGCTCTACATCAGGCAAGAGACAGAGCTCCTGGGGCTGTGGAGCTAGTGAGGGAGGATGCAGCCAAGGAGAAGAAGGATGAACCCGAGGAGGAGGGAGGATGATGCCAAGGAGGAGGGAGGATGCAGCCAAGGAGGAGGGAGGATGCTGACAAGGAGGAGAAAGATGAACCCGAGGAGGAGGGAGGATGATGCCAAGGAGGAGGGAGGATGATGCCAAGGAGGAGAAAGATGAACCCAAGGAGGAGGGAGGATGATGCCAAGGAGGAGGGAGGATGAACCCGAGGAGGAGGGAGGATGATGCCAAGGAGGAGGGAGGATGATGCCAAGGAGGAGGGAGGATGATGCCAAGGAGGAGGGAGGATGATGCCAAGGAGGAGGGAGGATGCAGCCAAGGAGGAGGGAGGATGCAGCCAAGGAGGAGGGAGGATGCTGACAAGGAGGAGGGATGGGGCAGCTGACCCGAGACCGAAGCTGATATTTACTGGCTATATGATTGGGGACAAAAGAGTTTTCTCTACATACAAGCTGTTAACCCCTGTTTGCTAATCCCTCGTTGTCGTATGCATTAGATGGTTCATAGAGCCTCACACCAGCTCATAAGAAGACATGCATGGACCCTGAGGGTGAATGTGTTCCACTGCCTTGTATCAACCTGTGAAGCAGAAAACTTGGATTTGCGGTTTTGAGACCTTGAGTTGCTCAGATTCTGAAGTGGGCACTATATAATTGGCATGAAAGCAAGTGAGCTAGACCAGGGAGTCTGCAAAGTACCTTCTGATTCTAAGATACTATGATTTTAGGAGCATTAGGACCAAGTCATACTTTCCTGGCAGAGCGTCCTTAAGGAGACAGACTTGGATTCAACTCTGTTTTGCAACACTTTTTAGAAAGCAGAGCCAAGGAGGTAATAGAGAACATTCTTCATTATCTGTTTTCTACTTTAAGGTAGGAACATCACATAAGTCATGGGGGAACATGAGATGTTTGTGGATGTTTAACATGATTCCTGGTTTATGGAAAATATAAAAACTATCGCCATGAAGCTTGAAATTAAGTTGTTTAAATGCTAACAGTTTTTTTATGAAAAAGATCAAAGGTAACTAGACTACCCACCTCCAAGCCCATCAGTTGAACACATTTGTTCTGGTGTATGAAATTATTCTTGAATGCCTGTTTACTTCACAAACATAATTTGTTTCCTTTTATTCAGGTGGTCATGTATTTACACAGATTTATTAATTCTTTATCAACTTGAAACTTAAAAATGTGAGTCCAAATTCAGAGTGAGACCAGCACAAAGCTGAACCTTCACAAAATGGACTTGGAACACTAGCTGTCTCGTAGTCCGTGCTTTGGTAAATCCATTCTCCCACGTTTGGACATGGGTAAGTACGTCGGTGTGGGTCTGTTTAAACGTCTTCATCAAGCTTACAGGCTTTTGTGAGATGTATGTCTTTCCCTTTCGTCTCTTCTTAGGGAGTTGCTAAGAAGTTGCACCAGGAGAGGCTCCAGGGCAAAGGTCAGGCAGTCTGCTAGGTCTCCCTGGGGTTCTTTAATGGAAGTCCTCCACACCTGGGACAGTCCTTTAGACATTGTAAGTGACCTGGTGGTGGTGGCACACTCTTTTAGTCCCAGCACTCAGGAATCAGAGGCAGATGGATCTCTGAGTTCAAGGCCAGCCAAGAAAAGAAAAGAAGGAAATTCCAGAGTGGACTAGGCTTGCTTCAAAGTCCCTCTACTTTCTCATATCTTGCTTGTTTGCTGCCTATCTAAAGTATGATGCGAAATGACTATTTTACTTGATGGTATTGTTTAACAAGCAAATTATCTCTGAGAAGGATTTATGGTAAAACACATTCTGAGGACCTTTTTTAGCTTGTAATTTTGAAATAACTATAGACTCACAAGAACTTAAAAACCATCACAGTCTGGTCCCACGTGCCCCTTGCTCAGCTTCCGCTGACGGCACACTCTCGTATAACTAAACTAGTATCAAACTGCAGGGCAACTTTGGTTTGCTACAACTCACTGGACGTGGATGGAGGACTGAAGGAAAAAAGACAAGCTCCCCTGAGTCCAGCTCAGCTGCTTTGTGTGTCACTGGGTTAATGTACTGCCATCTCCACTCCGTCCCTGCCGAGCAAGGCTGAAGCTGTAGTGACATCTTACCCTATTGCTTATTAAAGCATCTGGCATTCAGTTAGGTGTTTTGATTAAAACATGGCCAATAGCTTTTTCCATCTATAGGAAGCTTTGCTGTTTTCATGGAGTGTCTGTGACACTCCTGCTGGGGGATTATCACTGTCCAGAGGGAAAAGCATGAACCCAAATCACTCAAATCTTGGCATTATTAGTGCTAGTCTTGTGACAATGCACAAAATGTCCTTGGGTCTTGCTGATTATTTCCACATAATCATTATTGTGAAGACTTTTTTTTCAGCAAAGACTGAATTCAAGGGTCCTGGGAAGTAGATAGAATAAAATTTGATTGCCATTTTACAAACTAAGGTTCAAAGGTGGTAAATGAATTGCTGTGAATTGCAGAACCAATGTATAGCAATGCAGCTGGACACAATAGGATGCTGTCTTCCATGATCTCACATTACGTTTCCAAAGTATGAGAGGACTGGATCAACACAACACAACACAACACAGCACCCAACCAAGCCAAACAAAGCAAGCCCAGCAAACAGAGTAAGTAACCCACAGCTCAGGGCAGTGGTAGAGGGTTAGGAGCCTGCTCTTATATGCTATGGTTAATGACCTTTGCTGATGTCCTTTGCTGTGGTGTTGAGTGGTGGGCTACATTAAAGGTGGACTGAGTTTATTGTGAGTTACTATTCTAGGGTCTCTTCAAAGGTCCCCCCCAGTTACCCAGATCGTTCAGGTAGTCTGGAGTCCTACCTCTCACCCCTGTGTCTCCATGTTGCCCTCATCCATAGTGGAAAGCATGGAATGTTGAGAATTTGGAGCTTGCAACTCTGCAACTACTTACACTTTTCTTTTTTTTTAAGCCTCAAGAGAGCTTAAATGTAAAAGGATGGAGGGTTCTGATATCATCATCTTTATCATTTTCAATATTTTGCTCATTAAAATAATTTATTAACACAAGAATGTTAGCATGGAGCATTTTTTATAGCCTGGAATGTCTTTAGTACCACATCAGCCAAAATTCCTTCTTAACCTGCCCTGAACATCTTTCATACGTCTGAAATTCTTCATAATAGAACACCTGTTTCTAGAGGAATTCCTTTGGATCTCTCAATCTTCCTTGAAAGAGAATAGAAAATGCTAAAATTGGTCATTAGTTTCAAAGGGCTCTTGTTGCAACTGTCAAAATCTTGAGTACAGCTCGTGTGTGTGTGTGTGTGTGTGTGTGTGTGTGTGTGTGTGTGTGTGTGTGTGTGTAGCCCTGATGCCTTAAGTAGTGGGTTACAATTAGAAAGATCCAGTCTGTTGGTGATGTGAAGTTGGAGTTTTTCTTACTGTGGTTACATGTGGGAATGTCATAATTAAGCCTGGGGTAGACAAAAACAGGAGCAGAATATTCTCAAGGACTCCTAGGCATTTCTCTGGGTTTGAAACTGTCTCAACTACTTAGATTAGATGTGCTGTGGAGAAAAGGAGGAAAAAAATCACCAAAGTGTCGTGTATGCCATCAGAATTAAGAGATTTAAGATGGAAGGTTACCCTGAGAAATAAGTAGACTTTCTTAGTATAAACAAAACTTTTGTAGACTTTGAGAGCCAGAAGAATATAACCATGTTTGTGTTTTAAATTTGGTGCTGTTTGTACCCCCACAATCCTAAGGTATTAAGGGGACTCAGAAACTTTCATTCTGAGTGGGTTTGGATTATTTCATTGTTCTAACAAACACAAGTGTTTCCTTAACTCAGATATAACAATTCAATGAGACATAATGAATAACAGCCCTTTCCCTAGAGTTATAAACAAGATTAAAAACAAAACCCATGGCTGCATACACAACGGAAAATTACCATTATGTTAAAAGCAAAATGATTTTTTATTTTCTTGGCTATCTATGTTTTTCATTGCCTTATGCTTTCCCTTGCTTTTCTTTCAAGGAATAGTGCAGAACCTGTCAAAAGAGTTACATGGCTACATCCCTGTATGGATGCGAACCCCAGGTAGCACATCACAGGATGGTAATATACTACAACCACACAGAGATGAACAAGTATCAGGAACTCCCTGGGATAGCTCAATAGACATTTGCCTGCACAGAATTTACAGATTGTTTTTTAAATATTAAAATACTGTTTATCCATTATAAAAAGTTCCCTGTTATTAAGCACAGGCATACAAAACATGTTAAGTTTGCCCAACTTTTGATTATGACAGGATATTCCAGTACAAACATCAGAAATATACTAAGAGGAATGATTCTAAAATAAGACTGCAGTTTTATCAGAGCATGCATTTTAGTTTAAAAGCATAAATGTAAGGAATGCACATTTGTACTTGTGATTATTTAACAAAGCACTAAGGCACATAAAATTAGATGCTGAGCATACTCACAATATTTTCCAATAATGAAGATGCAGAAGAAGAATGGACCAGATGTCATTTCCTTCTTTCTGAGCAACTGATTAATGAAAGTAGATAAAATGTGGTCTTGGATAAAATGAGTCGCGCACAGCTCACAGTGGTTGTGCTATTTCTGTCCGTAGTCTTAGCAGCTATAAGGCAGCTCTCTCTCTCTCTCTCTCTCTCTCTCTCTCTCTCTCTCTCTCTCTCTCTCTCTCTCTCTCTCTCTCTCTCTCTCTCTCTCTCTGTGTCTGTCTCCTCTGTCTCATATGTGTGTGTGTGTCCCTCCCTCATTTCCTTCCTTCCTTTATCCCTCCACCCCTCCCGCTCTCCTCTCTTGATTCCGTTTTCTGAAAGTCTTAATATTACACACACACACACACACACACACACACACACACACACGAGGGGGGAGAGACAGAGACAGAGAGAGAGGGAGAGAGACAGAGACAGAGAGAGCTGAGCAGCAAGGAAAGTTTCTGAGAGCACATAGGTCTGTTTCCTCTAAACAGCTTGTTTCTCTGCCTGTAAAACTCTCTGCATGCATATATGGACATTGACAGAAGTCTGACCTGATCAAAGCTGTTGGAAAGAAACTGAGCTGAGGTAAACCCCAAACAAAAACATTTTTTTCCTCTACAAATGCTTTTGTGGCACAACAATAGAGCAGGAATTGAGGTGTGACTCCAATGGCCTTTGAAGTCTGTTTGGAAATTTGAGCAATAGATATGGCTCAAAGAGAAACATAAGAATCAACTATTTCAAAATGCTTTTGCACTATAGGTTTTACTGTAGTAGAGACCTCAACATGTTGTGACTGAGCAGTAAAGTCTTCCTGGGTCCAGATCTTAGGGATCCGGACACTTTGGGGTGGCAGCTGTACCCTGAAGCTGGGTTTTCAGGAGGAAAACACCTGCTCGGGAAGACAGCTCAGGGGCTGCACACAGGGCACGTTGGATAACTGGCACAGGCCCTCGTGCACAGCCGTAACCACCAAATGGTAGCTATTCAGGTGACAAATTTTAATACTGGTCACAAATTTAATACTCATGACAAATTTAATGCCAGTGAAGAGGAAAAGTATATAAAGACAAATAACATTTCCATGAGCAGCATTTTGTCTTAGCTAAAGCATACAATTCCTATTTTTGACTTAGTAGTGTATTTCTAGAACTAATGATTATCACAATGATGCAAGGCTTTGAAAGGGGTCGGTGAAATGAAGGACCAGAGGAAGCGTCAGCCAAGAGGAGGTGTGCACGAAGGTCTTTGGGAACCCAAAACCTTGCAACCCAACACAAAATATAATGAGTGGGTTGTAGAATACATGTGTTACAAAAGGATGTGTGGGCATGTAGTGGGTGGATACCACAGCCAAAGGCTTAAGCAGAGATGAGGGTACTGGGTAAGGGAATGTAGGGATCAGGGCTGTGGGCACCAAATTAAGAGTATATGAATAAACCTTACGGAAATCCACTGTGCTAACCTGAAAGCTAATTAAAAATACAACCAAAATCCGGTGACTGTGGTGGCATGCACCTTTAATGGCAGCCCTCATCTGACAGAGGCAGGTGAATCTTGAGTTTGAGGTCAGCCTGGTCAAGAGAGAGAGAGAGAGAGAGAGAGAGAGAGAGAGAGAGAGAGAGAGAGAGAGAGAGAGAGAGAGAGAGAGAGAGAGAGAGAGAGAGAGAGAGAGAGAGAGAGAGAGAGAGAGAGAGAGCATTCTAGGCCGTATATCCTGGAGTGCAAAGAGAAGAGTTTAAACAGAGGAAACCCATGTGCATGAAAAATGCTTTCCCCACCGGTTTGGTAAAAACCTCTGTGTTACCTGAGGCACAGGTTATCTCCCTATGAGTTAAGGTCAGGAAGGCCCAGAGGCATTCCAAAAAGCATAGGTATTGCCATTGCTCTTGGTTTCCCACAGAAACTGAATGGTAAGATGACTCCTGCACCTGAGTTGTAGGTCACAGAGAAGCAGATCTTCTAGCAGTAACAGCTGTGTGGGGTGCTGGGGGAAGGCATCGGTGGTCTTGCCTGGAACTGAACCCTGCACGTGACAGCCCTGACTCGTCAGACAAATGTGGCTGTGCAATAGTGGCAAGACTTGTTATGAGTGCAACCACCCACTCTCAATTCCTCTGAGGTCAGTACACAAAAGGGGACTCATGCACAGCACTGTAAACACGGTCAAAACTCGTGGTTAGGGGAGTCATCACATTTTAAAATTAATTTTTATCTAATTTAAAAACAATCTTATTTTACATACCAATCCCAGTTCCCTCTTCCTCCGATCCTCCCCTTTTCCCCCACCAGCCCCCCATCCACTCCTCAGGGAGGGTGAGACCTCCCATGGGGGTCATCAAAGTGTATCACATAATTTGGGGCACGATCTAGGCCTTCTCTTATACTGGTTCCACTGCCAGAGGTCCCATAGACTGCCCAGGCCCCCACAACTGACACCCATGTTCAGAAGGCCTGATTCAGTCTTCTGATGGCTCCCCGGCTGTCAGACTAGGGTCCGTGAGTTCCCACTTGCTCAGGTCAGCTGTTTCTGTGGGTTTCCCCAGTCTGGTCTTGACTCCTTTGCTCATCACTTCTTTTCTGCAACTGGATTCCAGGAGTTTGGCTCAATGCTTAGCTGTGAATCTCTGTTTCTGCTTCCATCAGCTACTGGATGAAGACTTAATGATGGCCCTCTCCCATGTGTCCAGCCTGAGAGAGTATCCCTCTATGTGAAATGGGCTCCCAAAGTCCATTTGTATACCAGGGATAAATACTGATCTACTACCTGAGGCCCCATAGATTGCTGAGGCCTCCTCACTGACACCCACATTCAGGGGGTCTGGATCAGTCCCATGTTGGCCTCTTAGCCATTATTTCATAGTCTGATTATTGACATCAAATTATTTTTCCCTAGCGTTTGGGTTAAAGTGCATTTTCTTGTTTCTTGATTTAAAGATATATATATATATATATATATCAAGAACAGATGGAGTACATTCTTCTTTCTCTTTCTGCCCATGCTTGTCAATTATAAATATGCTTGAGTGATTTGGTAGAATCCATGGAGTCAGAGCCTCTCCATGGCTAAGCATTGTCCTGCTTTTTCACTGGGTTTGGTTGTTGACTTAGGGTAATAGGGTTATGCTCTTTTTTATCTCAGAACTGCTTTGTAGAGCCCATTGAAGCACTCTGAGTACCAGCAAGACCCTATGTTTGAAGATTACTCCTTGCAGGGTGGTGTTGGTGCATGCCTTGAATCCCAGTGCTCCGGAGGCAGAGGGAGGCCAGCCTGTTCTAGAGCAAGTTCCAGGACAGTCAAGGGTGCACAAGGAAATGAAGTCTTGGGCAAAAATGACTAATAGAAAAAAAAGTGAATCAAGCTGGGAAAGTCTTTCCCAGGAACACTTGTAGATCTGGGAGACCCTGTGACCTTTTTATCCCTCCTTACCTGAAAGCCACCATGCTCTTCTGTACCTATCAGTCACTACCATGTGCAACAATGGAGACAGACATTTTGTTAATGTTTTTTTAATTTTTTATAGATATGAGTTTTCCCAGAGTAAGAAGCTAGTGAAATCCCACTAGGAGCATCACCACACAGAGCGATTCTTGATAATGGTTCACTAACCGTAAGTTAAGGATATTAAGTAGAACCCAAGGGCAAACAAAACAGTCTGTCAAGCCGCTCATCCTGTGGCTCCATTTATGTTATAGGTGACAGCTGCCAATCAGCCGAGACTCTTGAGGGACTCATCATTCCTAAGTTCCACCCAAAGACAGTTTTAGCTGTCTTAATTTAGCATTAATTAAACAATTCCAAGATGAGATGACTTTTGGAAAATGATATTGATAACATTGCTACGCGTGCAATTGGTTGGAGTAGTTAATAGGTACAGGTATTTCGAAAGATGCTTTAAGAAAATTCAAGCAAATTTGTCCTTGATGAAAAGTGGCCAGAAACATTATTTTTATAGAAAATTAACGAGAAAGTGGTAAGCCACACCTTAATTTATGCATTGCCAATTATCCCATTAAGGGATATGACAGGGAAGTAGAATTTAATATTCCTCTGTAAAATTGATAGTATAAAGACAATGAGGCCACGGCTAAAAAGCACAGCTTTCTCTCCCTCTGTGTGTATACGGATGCGCATAGGAGCATGCATATATCTCTGGTAGTAATCTACCCTTCATTGTAAAGCAAATTGAAGTACATGATATTTGCTAAGTGCAAACTCTGTATAGGCTGTAGTATTATTAGCTTTGTCTTAACTGTTTCCCTCAGACTCACAGTATACGTTCATTCTACTTAAATTATGCTCATCTGATTCGAGACCGACAGTAATATAAAGCAGCAATATAATATACATTGATTAGGAGCTCCCATCTTAGGGAAAATTGCTACACAACACTCAAGAAGGCTATTACAGTTTGTTGTGACGGTGTGGCGTGCAAACAAAAGAAGTTACCAGAAAAAACAATCCAACAATCCTTTTTTTTCCCCTTTGAGATACCTTACTATGTACACAGGTTAGCCTAAAACTCATGATCGTACTGACTCACAGCCTCCATAGTGATGGTATTGTAGATATGCACCACTATAATGGACAAAATTGTCTTAATTGAATTTAAACAGAAACACAGTTTGACTTTAAAACAGGATGCCTAATAGAAAGAAATGTGAGCTATATACACAAATTTAAGGGTTTTTTAGAACCCACATTAAAGAAGTGAAATAAAAATCAAGGGACTTTTGTTTCAATGATAAATTATATCTAACTCAACACATCCAAAATATTAATGAAATGCTTTGTATGCTAAATGTTCCTCACAGGCTCATATGTTGGAATACTTGGTTCTCAAACAGTGGCACTTTTGGGGGACTGTGGGACCCTGACAAAATGGAAGAAGCTATTCATGCGATAATCAGATCTTGAGGGCTATAGCCTCTATCTCCCGCCTTATCTCTCTGTTCTGAAATTCCCAGCCGTGAGGAGTGAGCAAGCTTCCACAGGCACAGGTATGAGGGGGCTCCTAGCATCAGGTCTTGTCTGTTGTGACAGACTGTATACTACAACTGTGAGTCAAAATAAGTATTTCTTAACTTCCTTCTTGTCAGGTATTGGGTTACAGCAAGAAGAAAAAATAATATGTAAAGAGGGAGAGGGGAAGTGAACAGGACAGTTCAAAATACACTGCTGCACAT